GGTCCCTGTGCTTTGTTTAGCTTAGCTTGTTCTAAGCAGGTGCTTTAGACCACTGAGCCATCTCACCAGCCCTCAGCTCAGTTTCTGAATATTGGCCACTGTGGAAGAACTCAGGGCTTTTGGGCGAGCCCCGTGCCGGGGGTGGTGACACCAGTGGCCACTTGATTTCTTCCTCCACCCCCACAGCACCCGTTTGACTTGAACTTAGGTGACTTCCAGGTTTTCTTCTCCCCCGAGAAACCTGGTCTCTCTCCCAGTCTGGCTCCTGGTCCTAGCCTGCAGGTTGGGGCTGCTCTTCCCAGCTTGCCCCCCACCAGCTTGCTCCTGCTCCCAGGGGTTCGCCTCCCTCGCTGCCCCGCCGCTCCCTGGGGCCTTGGCGCGGGGTTTGGAGGAAGCGGGCTCACGGCGACCGATGGCTCCACCTGCTGGCCATCCTGCCCCTTGCTGCATGCAGCGCTCAGTCTCCATCCCCGCCACCGCTGCTGTTGTTGCTGCTGCTGCTGCAATATTTTATAACACAGACCCGGAGACCCTGGGTCGGAAGCATGCCCCGGCAAGTAACACTGCTCGCTCTGCCCGCCGGGCTCCGCTCCTGCTGGATGGCCCGAATAAGTTTCCCCTGAGAAAAAGTGCGAGGGGGTAGGGAGCTAACCCTCTGCCTGTGTTGCTGTCCCCAGGGACCCTTCCATGAAGCCTGAGGCAGGCATAGTAGCCGCTGAGAAGAGCCTGCTGACATGACATCAGCCACGGAGTTTGAAAACGTGGGCAACCAGCCACCGTACAGCCGGATCAACGCCCGGTGGGATGCCCCTGACGACGAGCTGGATAATGACAACAGCTCCGCCAGGCTTTTTGAGAGGTCCCGGATCAAGGCATTGGCAGGTACCACAGGGATACCGGGGTTAGAGGCGCATGCTCACGGTTGCTGAGGCCACACCCTTCCCTCCGTGGCATACCTGTGTGCCAGTGAAACCCAGCGTGGTGGCGATGGAGATGAATTTGCCTGTCCTGGAGGCTGCCCCTCCTCCCTGGGGGAGGGCACAGGCTCAGGCACCCTGGCCCTGAGCAGCCCTCACTTCCTCCCTTCTGAGGGGCAGGTTGGTGCTGGAGGTGCTACCGAGGTCCCTGCCTTCTGCTTCTGTCTGGAGTGACCTGTGTCCAAAGTCAAAGAAGGGGAAAGTCCAGGCAGAGTGTCTGAGGGGATGGCCGTGCAGGGTTTAGGGCCTCCTGTGTGTCCCAAACTCCTGTGTGGGCCTGGAGAGGGGAATTTTCATCATCTGCTCAGGGGTCCTGGAAGAAAAGAGGGGTTCTACGGGAAATGGAGGACAGATAACATCCTCCCTGCCTTGCCCCAGTGAGGAAGATTTCTGGATGGAACCTTATCCTTAAAGTGTAGTTAGCAGGTTCATGATAGGCCATCTCTGTCTCTGTCTGTCTGTCTGACTCTGTCTCTGTGTCTGTCTGTCTCTGTCTGTCTCTCTCTCTCTCTCTCTCTCTCTCTCTGAAAATATCTTACATCTCTAGTAGAAATGGCCTCTCCTCCCCCTGCTGGCTGAGATCTGATTCTTGGAATTTTCTTTCTTCCTTTTTTTATTCTACCTTCAGGCCTTGTGGCTCTGTTTCCCTGGAACTTAACTCAAGGTAACTAACTATACCCTGGCCCCAAGTCCTCGGCCAGCAGAGAAATCTTGAGTTATATGGCACTCTGTGGGCTGTGAGGGAGCGTCCTTCCCCAGCCCACCACTCAGCAGTCCTCACTGGACCTGATCCCTCATCACTGTCACTCCTGTCCTCGTAGGAAGAACACAGGCTTCCCATAAACACTTTCGGAGCAGCTCTTGCCTCATCTCTTCTGGATCTACCTGAGGTTCAGAGAGGTCCCCTTCTTCCTGCTGTCTCCCACCCTCAGCCACTGTGGTTCTCGGCTGACCCTGAGACAGGAGCAGAGCCTTAGGCCCTCTGGAATGTGATGACCTCCCTGTCAAGAGTACTAGGCTTTCTATTCCCAAAGGAGATCATGGTCCCCGTCTCTGTTGTCACAGTGGGAACCCACTCGGGTTGGTCTCAGCATCACCCTGATCTTCCCAGGAAACTTCCTATTCTTCCTTCATCTTTTCTCACCCTCCTTAATCCCACAAAATTCTTCCTTGATTTTTGTGGGGACAGGTAACAGCCGTGACCCCTTCCTTAGAGAATTTTAACCTTTTTTTGTGTGTGGTACCAGGAATTGAACTCAGGATCTTGAGCTTGCCAGGCAAGCGCTTCTTCTACTGAGCTATCTCCCAGCCCCAATTTTAACCTTTTTAAATAACCACACTAAGTGGAAAACCTTGGCTTGTTGCTCTGGTTTTGCCTTTTTTTTCTTTTTCTTTTTTTTTTTTTAACCTCCATTGGATAGATCTGGCTCCACAGTGACATGGGGGGCAAGGAGAGGGGCCCACTTCCATAAAATTTGCCAAAGGATTGTCCAATTTGGGGATTTGGGGATGGCAGCCTATTTTTTAGGAAGCCAAGCTAAATTCCATTTTAGCAATTATGTATTGTCTCCCTATAAATTTAAAGCTAAACTGCCAGCCAGACATGAAAGGAGAGAGGGAAACCCACAGAGATGAATTCAACATAGCATCTGTCTCTAAGGAGTTGATCATCTATTAGGGAAAATGAACTATGCTCGCAATCAATTAGCATGAGTAGAATTAGAGAAGGATGGGAGGGACACATAAAGGAAAGAGAGAGAGAGAGAGAGAGAGAGAGAGAGAGAGAGAGAGAGAGAGAGAAAGAGAATGAGAATGAGAATAAGAATATATATGAAGGGGCTGGAGAGATGGCTCAGTGGTCTAAAGCACCTATTTGGAACAAGCTTGGAAAAGCACAGGGACCGCGGTTCAATCCCCCAGCACCACATGCCAGCCAGCCGCGCCCCCTGGTGGGCTGAGCTGGCCACACACACACACACACACACACACACACACACACACACAATAAAAATAAATGTAAAAAAAAAAAAAAGAATATATATGAAGGAAGGAAAATCAGAAAAGATGGTGAGGAGATAGCTGGGACTGAGGAGTGCCTTGTGGAATGCTGAGGATTCCCTGCTGGCTGCAGTGCAGTGGCCTGGGACACTGGTAGTGGGGACGGATTAAAGAGGCAGGCACAAGAGGAAACAGCATGAGCCCATGCAGGATCAGCTCTAGGCTGATGACGAGAGCGCCTCGGCTACCTGGACTGGGCCTGCTTAGGAGAAGCAGCATCTTGTCCGCCACAACACCCGGTGCCCCAGGGAGGGGACCCCACTCGGGTAGAGCAGCAAGGCTGGACTTGGACGCTTTGGAACAGCTGGCTGCCTACTAGATGTGTGTGTAGGCCTGCGGTCTTTCCAAAATCTTGACAAACAGAGTGACCCCTACTGGAAACTCAAGCTTTACAAAGTCCAAAATAGAGAGGCCAGATGCACTCATTTCTGCGGGGTAGGTATCCTGGAAGAGGATGGAAGAGGGATGTGAGGCTTCCCCAGTTCTAATTTCTTCACATTTTTTCCTGGAATACTGTTTCCAGGATGACTATAACAGTCTAGTCAGAGACCAGCCTTCCCAGCAAGACCTTAGGAAGCAGAGGTGACCTTTGGTCCTGTCGCGTCAACATGCTCTGTTCTTGCTGTCCACTCATGAGAATACTAGGGCCCAGAAGGAGCCAGCCCTGTGCTTCTCTTTTTGGTTTGGTTTTCTCTTGCTTTTTGTTTGCTTGTTTTTTGGTGGCTTTCTTTTTCGAGATAGAGCCTCAATAGGTAGTCCAGGCTGGCCTTGAACTCATGGCAGTCCTCCTGCCTCGGCCTCTGGGATGTGCTGGGATGACAGGCGTGTGCCACCATGCCCAGCAGCCTTGTGCTTCTTACATGATGGCAGTAATCTGTTTGTAGGTATATGCACAGGGTATGGGATGGTGTGGTATTTTCTTCCTGCTGTGGAAGGTCTAGGGTGGTGAGGGCAAACCTTTTGGAGCTTTCCATATTATCAAGCAGCTCGCTGCAGCACTCGTGCTGTAGGTTCGACACCCCTGGTCTAGGATGAGAGCAAAATATTATAAGACCAGATTCAGGTCCTGACTGCACCTCTGACGCTAAGCGATGAACGATGGCCTGTTTTATCAACTGGGACTGCAGTACTTTCCCAAGATTGCTATGAACATAAAATAAGTTAAAGTTTATGAAAATCTTTTCAAATCAATCATAAATGCTGTTTGACTATTAGATATTATTATTATTATTGCTAAGAAAACTTCCTGTAGAAGGCTGGGGAGATAGCTCAGAGGCTTAAACGCCTGCCTGGCAAGTGCAAGGTCCCAAGTTCGATCCCTAGTACCTCAAAAAGGAAGAAAACAACACACACACACACACACACACACACACACACATACAATGAGTATTGGATAAATGGCTAGGGCCGGCCAAATAGCTCAGCAGATTAAAGCACCTGCAAGAAGGCATAGGGGCCAGGGGTTCAATCCCTGGGCCTGCTGTGCTGGCCTTACCCCCAGGGCCCGCTGAGATGGCAGTTGAGACTGGGTGTGGTGGCACATGTCTGTAATACCAGCTCTTGGGAGGCTATAAACAGTTCAATCACTCTACAAGTCCGATCTAGTAGTGAGACCCTGTACACCCTGAAGACCCTTCCCTAAAAAAATACAGAGAGAGAGAGAGAGAGAGAGAGAGAGAGAGAGAGAGAGAGAGAGAAAACTTCCTATAATTCTTTTTGTCCTTTTCTTAACTTCATATGCCTGAGATCATGAACTCAGCCTGGTCCCAGTTACCTTGGCCTTTCTCCAGAGTTGTTTCTTCTTAATTTCAACCTACTTTGTCTGGTTTGGGCAGGGTTGGAAGAAAAAGCCAGAGGGCCAGGAAATTAGGTGTAAGTCTTGTGCTTGGAATTTGTGGCTCTTCCCCCCCCCCCCCCACACCTCCTGCCCATGAGGTCAAACACCCTGCAAACCACCCTCTCCCTAAGGCCGATTGAGTCCAGCTAGGTCTCGGCCCTGCAGCAGGTGATCCTGCCTGTGAAACCAGAGGGCATGGGCTCATCGTGTGCTCTCCCTGGCCTGGCAGCTCCTCTGGGTCCCTCTCCTGGCGAGGAGAAGCCCTCTGGGTTAACAGGGCTCCCTCTTCAGCTTGGTCTCAGCGCCCAAGGAAACCCTTCCTGTTCTGCCTGAGGCGCGTAAGCCATCTACTTACTCTGCTCCTGGATATAAAAGGCTGACCTGTCCCCAGGATGAACAACTTGATGTGAAACACACAATCCACCTGGCCAGAGTGAAGGGGGAGGTGAAAGAAAACTTGCAGAGGATGGATTCGACCTTGGCAGTGCCCAGGGGAGGGTTGGGGGCCCGGCAGGAATTTTTTCCTTAGGTCCTGAGAAGATTTTTGGCTTAATGTCAATGTCTGGCTGGCAACCTCTTGGGGTTAAGTGGTAGGTGGCCCCAGGCTTCCTTCTGAAAAGGGGATCGTCTTGCTCCCCTCTGATGACTGCCTCTGGAGCCTTTCTGTTTTTCGGATGTGCTTTGAGGGATCAGAGAATGGTGAAGCCCAAGTTTCTATCCCTCCACGAGATTCCAGCCTGCAGACTTCAGGGAGAAGGGGCCTAGTGTCTCCTACAGCCGCTCTGTCATGCAACCCCCCCTGGCCCTTCCGTCCCCCTTTATCCTGGAAGCCACTGCTCCTAAACATGTGGCTGCCAGGGAGGGGTGAAGCCCTGCGAGCTGCAGTTGGTGGCTAGGTCGCCGCCTCTGTGCCATCTCATCCCTGCCTGCCTACCTGCCTGCATGGCCTCCCTGCACCTGCTTGGGCACCCCTGAGACTGGAAGGTGATGACCACACTTCCAGGCA